TCCTCTCCTCCCTCTAAACCCACAACCTCTCCTCCTTCCTCCTTTCCACCTACCTACATCCCCTCTCCCTTCTTAACCACCTCCTCGAGTGCAGTTTGGGGTACCAGCCGAGCATCTCCTCTTTTCAATATAATAATTATTTACCTATAACATATAAATACATCAATTCTTATAATTTCTATCCCCTAATCCCCTTCCCCTCTGGACTTCCCGGAACCAAATACAGGACTAAAACACATCCCATTCCATATCTAAATTACAATTTAACTAAACATAATACGATCAATATTTACATACTTTAACTCTAATAATACAATAAGTAAAAACAATAAATCTACTCAAAAACTATATATTTATTCATTCCATACTTTCTCTGAATATAATCTATCCACCTTCAACATTTAAGCTATACAAAACAATTTTTTAAAAATCTAGATATCTATCAAGCATTATATAAATTCTTTCTTAAATTTTACACTTAAGTTTTTCCTTCAATTTCTTCACTCTCAAGTCAATACTTTCAAAAAAAAATCTTTTTATCTTTCATTAAATCAACAACAGCATTCCAGTCTCCAAACATATAAAAAAACCTATAAAATTACTTTTATTATTGTCGCTGATATAGTACATATAGACCAATGCTTCCTTCTTCAAAGCAAGAAAAATAAAATAAAATCCCAATCTTAAGTTTATCAAATATTTTGGATCTTTCAAAATACTATGAAATCCTTACAAGCATAAAATCCTTTTATATTATTTCAAATATTAGAATAATTTCTTCCTTTTCCATGGCAAAATCAAACCATTCACATTATCTACTTAACCATCCTTTGGCTTGTGAAGCTTATTAAGCATTCCCTGCAAGTCTGTCGTTACAGATCTCTTTGGCCTTGCTCCTCCCACTGACTCCGAAGTCGGTGAATATGTTATTGATACAGTTTCTTTTTGTTGTTGCTCTCTCTCTTTACGCCTGTAAGCAGCACGGGTCATTCTTTGCTCCTTAGAATTCACTCCCAGCTTTTGTTGATTCCGAGGATCTCCCACAGAAAGTGACATGGCCCCAGGCAATTCCACCACAAGTTGCTCCATCAGATCTTCCTGTGCTTTAGATGTTGATGATGGTGATAAATCAGCTTTCAGGACCGATAAATAAAAATCTTTAGCTTTTTGAACAGAATTTAATCTATATCTGGTCCCCGCATAATTTACCACAATGCCCAAAGGAATCTCCCATGTGAAAGGCATCTGCCGCTTCTTTAACTCCTGGGCCAAAAAATTGAAATCCTTTCTTCCTCTTAAAATCTTAGAAGGTATTTCTTTTAAGAGTATAATATCTTGTGCAGCAATTTGAAATCTCTGCTGATAAAAAAGTTGTATGATTTCATTACGGCGTACTCTTGTGGTAAAGTAAACAACCACATCTCTAGGTATATTTCTCTGACGTGCAACCCAGGAGTTTACTCTAAAAAAAATTTCTATTTCTCCATAGATCACCTCTGGGTTGCAATCCAAAGCCAGGGCCAAAGCTGTAACAATTTCCTCTTTAAGTTTCTCTTATGAATCCTCCTTAAGACCTCTTATCCTCAGAGCAAATTCCATTTCTCTATATTGTGACATTACCATATCACTTTGAAGAATTTCCACACCTTCTTCTACTTTCTGAAGTCTATCCTCTGTTCCTTCCATTTTCTCCACTAATTCATCCACCCGTCCTTCTATACGATCAATATGAACTGCTAGTCCTTGAAAAATGTGTGATATATTTTCACAAAGTTCCTGATTTTTCTTGTCAAGAAGTTCTTCTGTTTGTTTCACAGTCTGCAATGAGGACTTAGCTAAAGCCTCCTGTAGATCTTTAAGTGTAATGGAAGGAGGAGGTGATGGCGGGGGGGATCTAGGTTTTTGTTGTTGAATTTGCACGACAGGAGAAGAAATAGCTGCTTTAGGCAATGCAGAAACACCAGTACGTTTTGAAGCCATTCTGCCAAATTATTTTTAAAACTCACAGCAGCAAGTATCAACTTAAAAAAGCTTGACTTAAAAGAAATTCTTTAAAGTCCTTTAAAATGTATCATTCCACCACCGGAAACAAAGTGAAAGTTTTCCTTTTGTTACAAAGAAGCAGCGCTTCCGCAGCCATTTTCTTCTCACTTTCACTTATAACAAAAAGCAAAAATCCCAGTAGAATCTTTGAGTTAAAGTCACAATTTAACTAAAGTAAAAATCCCCTGTCTGGTTCCGTCTGTTCAAAAGTTACTCACAAGTGGATACAAAGTAGCAGCAGTGGCGGCGACGTCTAGCTTCGCTCCGAAGAGCGAAGGCACTCCGAGCTGCGGAGGGAGGTCCGGACTCCGGGGGAGTTCATTACCTTCATCCCCCCAGGATCGTTCCTGGGGGGACTAGGGAACTCAACCCCTATCCAAACCAAACTCACTTTCTCCCCTTCGCCCGGGGAGAAAGTTCCGAGCTGCAAAACAGCTGATCCGCGCTGTTTTGACAGCTTTGACGCAGTCCCGGGCGGGAGGCTAAGAAAAAAGCCTCCTTCGGCGAAGCATCGCCATCGGAAGGCGAGGCTTCGCCCTTCTTTGAAACTGGGGCATGGTCAGACCCTGCAGGTGCATGGCAACTTTGATTGATTGGTCTAAATGGGCTAGAGGACTTCTAAAACCCATTCGTGGATTCTACATTCCTCTACATGCTGGAGAAAAGCCTAATATTCCTGTAGCCTCTTGGTGTCCAAAATGCACCATTTTTTTCTTCAGAAATGACAGAAATAGGATTGCCACACTCCATTGTAACATTGCTTCTTTATTTTGTACACATAGATTCATTTGCATATTTCAAAAAATACTCAATAAAAACATTGTAGATGAAGTTGCATGTAACTGAGACAAAAAGGAAGCTTACATTTCTGCCTATACTGCATGACGTTACAAGTATTTTTATTTTAAAAAGGCAAAATAGAATGGTAAATGCAGTAGAAATACATACAAATAACTTCTATTGCTGACCTAATGGGAAAGGACTGATGTGTTTTGAAATACATAATAGAAAGCAATATTATCTAATACCAAGTGCTTGGAATATTTAAAAAAAATATTGGATTAGTAACCATAAAGAAGCCAAAAGTTATGTATTTAATACTTTGCAAAGCTTGTATTTTTCTACTATGTTCTTTTTATTTAAAAAAACAGAGGATGTCTTACAGACACTTTAAAAAAAACATCAAAACATAAAGAAAAACATTTATACCATTTTTTTGTAAAACAATCTATTAAGTTAAGAAACTTACAGGCAAACATTTTTAACTCTTACTTAAATGCTGCTCCACTGCCGTTGCTATCTTTCAGCCTGGTGTAATCACAAATAAGTGGCTTTCCATTTCCCCAAATCAAAGAGTGTTCCTTGTAACCTCTTCAACTTTTTGTTGACTTTTGAAAGCAAAAAAAAAAAAAAAACCTGCCTTTTTTAGAGTAAAGTTACTGCAAGCCTCAACAGCTCCTGCGTAAATCATTTTGCAGGACATGGGTGGATTTCTATTACAGATTTGCAGGCAGACATGAACCCATTACCATACAATTAATTCCTCCCCCCCTCCAGCAACCATGGAGAATAAACCCTCCATAGTGGTGCAAAGCTAGCCACCCCTCCAGCACTGCTTCTGTACAGTCCCCATTCATCCCAATGGAAAATGCAAGCAGCCAATGGCTCTACTGTAAACATCTATCTTTCCCCCCCAAATTATATATTCATAATGGAAAACAGCAAGTATATTTGGTAAGGGCAAAGAGTTCTGTCATCTTTGCAAGATGACAGAAAGAGGAACCCAATATTTTTAAGGCACTAAAATAGAGGAATATTTTTTTTAAGGCCAAATAAAATATGTACATCAAGAATGCTCTGAATTCTTCTTTTCTGTTAGCAAAGTTCCTATTTTTGCTACATACTTTTCCTCTGAATCTGACTGATGGTGGCTGTTGGCATGCATTTCTGAAGTTAGTAGTCTGGATACAGTGTGTAGCCAAGGTGGCAAAGGCAGAGAATGGGTAACCCTAACTGCAAGCTAAGCAATTTAAGGAAAATGCTAGGAAGTGGATTCTTGCGAGAATACAGGTAGTCTTGCGATTTACAACCACAATTGAGTCCAAAATTTCTGTTGCTAAATGAGACATTTGTTAAGTGAGTTTGCCCCATTTTACGACTTTTCTTGCCACAGTTGTTAAGTTAGTGACACGGTTGTTGAGTGAATCTGGCTTCCCCATTGACTATGCTTGTCAGAAAGTCTCAAAAGAGGATCACATGAGGCCAGGACACTGCAACCATCATAAATGTGAGTCAGTTGCCAAGCATCTGAATTTTGATCACATGATCATGGGGATGGTTGTTAAGTGTGAAATATGGTCATAAGTCACTTTTTCCAGGGCCGTTGTAACTTTGAATAGTCACTAAATGAATTGTAAGTTGAGGACTACCTGTATCCTGGAGCATCACAGCATTCTCCCCAACAAGGATAGTGCAGCCCCCCCCCTCTCTCTCGGCTTTTTTTTCCTTGACTGGCACCTGCAATTCCAACCACCATCACCACCATTAATAGCCTTGAAGCTCCTGACTAACTATACTGGTGAAGATACATGCATGGGAATAGCCAAAGATGATTAGGCAGAAGCATTTGTGAGCCATCCCAAGCTCTGCATAAAACAAATGATCATTTGGCTATTATGTGCAATAGATTTGGGATGGAGAGAAGAAAATAATTATTGTGTGGCAAGCACAGAGCATGAATCCAGACTGAGAACAAGGTAACTGAGAAGGCTGGAGAGAAAGAGTGCAGGAGAGAAAGAGAATGAATTAGATCAGGTTTGCAGGCAGAGGAGAGAGACAGAAGAAATAAACAAATAAAAGCAAAAGAGAGAAAAGCATGACCCCTTCTTCTCTTTCCACTTTCTTCTTCCCTTCTTTTGAGCACTGCTGCCCTGATTTGCCTTACTGCCAGACACTGTCTACCCCTGGATGAATATCAGCCGTGCAGAATACACCAGGTCACCAAGGTACGTCAGCAGATTGACAGCGGTTAGAACAGCTATGGTAAGATTCCTGTCCCAGTCACAGACGTTGCGACCTCCACAGTATGAGGGTCGAGATGGCTGTCCCCCATGTTTTCTGTCAAACTTGTACACAGGCCAAATAATTTTGGCGGTGGCATACATGAGCACAGCCAATAAAGTGTAGCCGCTGAGGAATTTGTTGAATGGACATGGCAACCAGCCAGTGCATTCGCCAATGCAGAGGATAATCACCACAAGGGATAGGATGAAACAGATGCAATAGACCGCCATGCACCACTTAAGAGCTTCTGGGCGGTCATAAAGAGGTGGATCACTTATGAAGACAAAGATGATGCAGGCAATGAAAGTCTCCACCACCTTCAGCAATCCCGGGACTGTCGCCATGTAGCCAGTCACTTCTCCTGGCTTAGCTTTGGTTATGCTGACCTCAGTGAGGTAAGCTAGACAGGCTAGGCAAGAAAACACAGTGGCAGAAATGCGGTATCCCCGTTCGTCATGAGAAAAATTCTGAGGCCGAACGAAGAACATCGGGTAGATGATGGAAGCAGACACATCAGGGTAGCATACATGGCGAAAGTGATAGGGAAGTTCTTCCAAGAGACCGGCATGCGATGCTGAAGGCCAGCAAACTCGACCACCAAGATGACAATGGTGATGGCAAAGCAGAAGCACCAGGAGAAGATGCACCAGTCCCCATTGCGGCCATCCCAGGCGGCCCGGTTGGCCACTAAGCTGAAGGCCACACAGGTGAAAAGGGCTTCCAGGAGGTGAACAATGCCCAGCGTAGAGGTCAGGGCGCTGGTGTTGCCCACCGATTTTGAGCGGGTTACTGGCATTGTGCAAAGATCTAAGGAAGAGAAGAAAGACACATAATGCAAAACTTTATCACATGAAAATATACAATTTAGAATACATTTCCTAAATTTAGGGCTAAGGAATATAGAACAGTGGGCAGATGTAGGAGATAACCAGACTTAGCCTGAGGGAGGGGTCAACCGCATCATCAGTCATGAGTCCCCGCGTGCCCACAAGAAATCTAAGTCCAGCCTACCTTGAATGCCTCTCTTATCACCCGCTCATTTCCCTTAACCAATTGGTCAGATTATTGCAGAGAGCTTAAGCTTGTAATAAATCTTTATATTCATTTGAACTGCCTGAATCACCTGATTTCCCCGGTGTTTGACAGCAGCCTTCTCCAACCCTGCAGCTTCTAAATAGGATTCCCCGTCTTACCATTCCCAACTAGAATTCCATTCTTATCTTCCCTAGTAATAATCCAAAATAACTGCAGGACTACAAATTGAGGAAGACTAATTTATGTGCTGTTGTCTCCTGAATACAGCAGAGGTGACAGCAGGGATGGGAGAAATGTATCACTCCAGCTTTCGTTGGACATGATCTGACGGCAGTCCCAGTCAGGATGGATTACAGATAGTCCTTGACTTACAACCATAACCGAGCCCAGAATTATAGTCATAAATTGTGCTGGTTGTTAAGTGGATCAGCATGTGACCCCACCCAATTTTACAGACCTGTTTTGCAGTGGTCGTTAAGGGAACGCCATTGTTGTTAGGCAAATCCATTGTCCACAATGGGTGGTTTTTTTGCTGAAACCGGAAGTAACCACCACTTTCTGGCAAAAAAACATCTAAATCCTGGTCGCAAGACCATGAGATGCTGCAAACACAACCCAAATGCGATCATGTGATGGGTGGAGGCCATCAGAACTTTGAATCTGGATCATAAGTAGCCCTGGGGAGGTACATTGTAACTTTGAATGGTTGCTAAGTGAACAGTCATACATTGAGGCCTATCTACATATGAATTCTAGTCCAGTGTCTGGAGAATTAAAGAATCACAGGGCTGGAAGGGACCTTGGAGCTCTTCTAATCAAACACCTTGCCCACAGCTGACCTTATTACAGTGGTTCTCAACCTGTGGGTCGCGACCCTTTTTGGGGTCGCACGAGCCTTTCACAGGGGTCGCCTAAGACCATCAGAAAACACATATTTCCGATGGTCTTAGGCAGGGCTTGTCAACCGCCTTCTCTCCCTCCCCCCCTCTGCTCCACCTCACTTGTTTGTGGAAAATATGCTGCTTGGCGGCAGTCTGCACGAACTCTACCAAATGTGCCCTGCAGGGGGCGCATGAAGAGCGCAGGCGCTGAGCAAGGCCCCGCCCTCCTCAGAGACTCATTGTGCAGCAACCGGATTGACTTCTTCTCCTGCACGCAGGTCAGCGAAGGGGAGGCTGCTGCAGCACCCAACTCCTGCGCCCGTCAGCTGGCGACCCCCGAACTTGCACTTGTCAGCCGGTCTCCTTTGCCACCCCGCCCATCCTCGACTCCTCCTCTGCCCGTTCATGTCGAGCCCGCCGGGGCTTGACAGGGAGAGAGGGAGGGAAGGAGGAAGGGACTCCTCCTCCTCTCCTAAGCTTCAAAGCACGGTCGGCTTCCCAAGGGCACCACAATCCTCACGAAAGTGGGGGGGGGAGAAGCAAAGGGTCGAGAAAGCTTGCGGCGGGCTCGAAGGAGCACCTGTCAGCGTTGGTGACGAGAAATTCCCCACAAACCCAGGGAAGGGGTGCAGAAAAGGAGCCCCCTTTGGGAGGAAACCGCCACCTTCTCCTTGGCTTTGCGCTCTTCTGTTCCTCGGCAGCCGGGTTACCAAGCCTCTGCTGGCTGGAACTTCCTTTCCTTACCTCCCTCTTGGTCTCTTCCTCCTTCCCTCCCTCTCCCATTGTCCCTTCCTTCCTTCGTTCCTTCCTTTCCTTCGCCTCCCTCTTTGTCCCTCCTTCCCTCCCTCTTTCCCCTTGTCCCTTTCGTCCTTCCTTCCTTCCCTCTTGTCCAGGATCGGGGCGAGCCTCTACAGCTGATCCGCGCTTCTGCAGAGCAGCCCAGAAGCGCAGATCAGCTGTAGCTGCTTGTTCGAGCTTTGCTAGAAAACATGCCGCTTGCTAATTTAGCAGAAGCACGAATCAGCTGTAGCCCAGCGCTGATCCTGGAGCTTCTGCTAACTTAGCAAGCGGCATGTCTTCTGGCGAAGCTGAGCAAGTGAGCTGGGTGGAGCTCTCCTCTGTCTCTGCCTGTGCACCGGCAGGTTTGCCGGCAGCAAAGCCCCCAGCCACGCTGGCAGCCTATCCCCCTCCCCTTGTCCCTTCCTAGGCACAGGGGGGGGAGGAAGGAAGGGACAAAGAGGGAGGGAAGTAAGGGACGAAGAGAGAGGGAAGGAAGGAACAATGCTAGAAAACATGCCGCTTGCTAATTTAGCAGAAGCGCGAATCAGCTGTAGCCCGGCGCTGATCCTGGAGCTTCTGCTAACTTGGCAAGCGGCATGTCTTCTGGCGAAGCTGAGCAAGTGAGCTGGGCGGAGCTCTCCTCTGTCTCTGCCTGTGCACCACCAGGTTTGCCGGCAGCAAAGCCCCGAGCCACGCTGGCAGCCTATCCCCCCTCCCCTTGTCCCTTCCTGGGACGAAGAGGGAGGGAAGTAAGGGACAATGAGAGAGGGAAGGAAGGAAGGAACAATGCTAGAAAACATGCCGCTTGCTAATTTAGCAGAAGTGCGAATCAGAGGGAAGGAAGGCAGGCAACCACTCCAGTTCCATCCAAGAGACCCACAGATTCCTCCCCACAGGCACTCTGCAACCTGAGTGATCAGCTGGCCACGCCCCCTGGCCATTGATCACGTGACCCTGGGACACTGTGAACGTCATAAGTATGAATCAGTTGTCAAGCATCCGAATGTAAATCACATGACCCTGGGAATGCTGCAACAATCATAAGTGTGAAAAATGATCATAATTCGCTTTTTCAGTGCTGTTGTAACTTCAAACAGTCACTAAGCGAATTGTTGTAAGTCGAGGACTACCTATACTTTCCCATTTTTTCCTCTTTTTTTTGGTCAAGTTTTTTATACCCCCCGGCCAGCTGGATGGGGGGTTGGGGGTCACCACAACATGAGGAACTGTACTAAAGGGTCGCGGCATTAGGAAGGTTGAGAACCACTGCCTTATTACATCCCAGACAAATGGCTGTCCAATTTTTTCTTTCCATAATTCCAGGAAGCAGGCTGTCCTATTGATTAATTGTTCTCACTGACAGGAAATTTCTCCTTAATTCCAGATTGGATCTCTCTTTAATGAACTTCCACTCACTGCTTCTTGTCCGGCCCTCGGGTGCTTTGGCGAATAAGTCAACCCCCTCCATCATGGGGTTGCCCCTCAAGTATCAGAAGACAGCTATCATGTTACCCCCTACACCAGGGGTAGGCAACCTTGGCTCTTTTATGACTCGTGGACTTCAACTCCCAGAATTCTTGAGCCAGCGAGTCATAAAAGAGCCAAGGTTGCCTACCCCTGCCCTAAACCTTCTCTTTCTTAGGTTAGACATACCTAGTTCCCTTAACCTTTCCTCACACAATTTAGCCTCCTAAGCAGGGGTGGGCAACTGTGGCAACTTTAGGACGTGTGGACGTCAACTCCCAGAATTCCTGACTCAACCACAGGTAATAAAATTCCCATACTAGCCCACCCCTGCTCCAGAGACTCAGAAAACTCACAAGCCAGATGTCTACAGGTAATCTATCAACATCTGCCTATGGGCAACATGGATGTCCTGTGATAGCAACTGTTGGACACCAAAATCTACAAAGGAAAAAGAGGGTAGTTCAACTAAACATAGACAATTTAATTTTATCGGTCTATTCTGAGGTTTATAATTCATTTATGTTATTTATGTATGCTATACCTATGGGGGTTGGATTTATAACTAGAGTTCTCCAGATTATATGTAGTTCTTATCTGGATTTACAGTACTTTTTTCAGATTTGTTAGCTCACTAAATGCAAGTAAAGATTCTCAAGAGCAAAATTCTCAACAGGAGATAGAATCTAGAATTGGCCCAATATTTTACTGAGGTAACTAAAGAGTTACACTTACAAAAATTGTAACTTGTAACTCCTTTGATAAACTTCAGTTAACTTAAACATTACCCCAGCCTGGCAGATGACTCTTGGGCTAAAATTGATTTAGTTCACCTCTCTGGCTCCAGTAGAGAAATGGAATTTCCTCAAGATAAGATAAATCTTTTATGTCAAATGCTCCACTTTGATGCCAGACAATTGCATGTCATAAAAAGGATCTGCACATCTAAGATCACCTACCACAAAGGGATTCTCTCTGGATCTCACATACCCACAGGGCAAGGGCATCTTATTTTACACATTTAATAGGCTTCACATCAACTTCACACCAGAACCCCTTGTCACTATATGTCCTATCATTCTCAGTTGGCCAAGAACGGCCGAATCTTCCTTTTGCTGTCTGGCTCTTGGAAGAAAATCCTGCCTCTACTTCAAACCATCGTCCTGCATTTTTCACTGGGTAACCCAGTTTGGAATCAGATCAGAAAATTCTTCTAACGGGCTTAAAATAGGTACAAACTAGTAACAACGTGCAAAATAAAGCTGTTTCCTTTTGTAAATGGAGATAAATCTTCCCGGCTTACACAGCATATATTATGAGCTGGCCATAAATAATGGAAACTGAACTCGAAAAGACCCAGAGGTTGGAGAAAGCTGAGTGGTATATTGCCCACCCAAAGCTGATATAGCACTTTCCTATTAGGTTTGTGGCAAAGTAAGACGCAATTGGGAGAATGGACAAGAATTTCCAGTGATAGTTACCCCAATTTGTCTGTGTCTCACAATTACATTACACACAATGGGAATTGCTATTTTTCAAGCCAAAATTGGGAAACATTTACTTCCTGCAGAAGTTAAAATGCACGAACAGCAACAAGGGCTGAGAAAGGGTGGAGACTTGCACAGGGGAGGAGTAG